CTACCCAACCCAGGTCTGTGCTTTTGCTTTCTTGGTGGCTAATGAGTGAAACGCGCTCAGCAGACATCTGTCCCCTGTCGGGCACCCAGTCCAGATTCTGTGTCTTTTGACTCACAAGCAATTTTGGCTCAGTTTATAAGGACTTCACTGCCACGTTCCAATGTAAGGTTCCGACTCAGATTAATCCGAGTGGCTGCATGTAAATCAGTCTGTGTGTCTTGAAAGAGGCTCTTCAATCCCAGCAATCCAGTTGCTTGGGGGAGCTAACGGAAGGGATCCCGGCGCTTTAACACGCTGGGGCCTGGGAGGTGTGTTGAGGCGGAAGTTCAGTGCGGAAGGTTTTGATGGGGCGAGGCAAGAAGTGGGTTAGCAATCAATTAGTTCAGTCTTAGTGTGGATCTCGAAATGTGTAAATCCTTCCTCCTGCATGGCTTACGGACTGTTCCGGTCTATCAGGAGCAGAAAGCTGCATCTGTATAACCTGCGTACCAAACCAGGCATTTAGCAAGGTAAATTATATGGCCTTAAAATAGGTAGGTATTACATGGAGCTGTCGCAATCTGCTTGCACGCTAGTCAGCAGAAATCGTAACAAAGTTGTCTTGCCTGTCCAATCTTTCTCGGAGAAAGAAAACTTTGCTTAGACCTATCTGTCCCTTAAATACCTCTGTGTGTGTGTGTGTGTATACAACGTGCGCAAGGCACACACAGTTCTAAAGAAGCAAGCAGTTGGACTACAACCCTCGTCATAGGAAACCTGCACGTCGCTTCCCCCCCCCCAATAAAATAATATCCGTGGAAACAACTCCGAAAATCGGAAACCTTGTATGCAAGCCTGGGTTCGTGGAAACACAAACATTGTAAAAAAACCCCACATTAAAAGGGATGGGGGTGGGGGGGAGCTGTGATTTAAATGCTTAACCGATATTAAAATGAAATGAAATGACTTCCTCCCTTGTTTGTAAAATTCTTGGCTCGTGCCTAGTCGCCACCTTAACAAACTCAGCCAGGGCCCACTCCGAATGGTCTCTCTTCCTCTGCTCTTGCTTTATTACTCGTTCTCCTGATATTTCATTGAACTGGATACTGCTGGCATTCGATGCAGCTCTTCCAGAGTCCAGAATGCAAAACTGCGGCTTCAAGAAATCCCGGCTATTTTCGGGGAGGGGGGGTGAGGGATGGCTCCAAGCGACATTCTAGGTGCACAGACCTGGTAACTATCACTGGATACGTTGAAACAAAATTCTTTATTTCCTTCGTTTTCCTGATGCCCATGCAACACGATGGAGCTCGATCATAAGCGTGTTTCCTCCTAAGTAGATCCCAATGATTGCAGTGGGTCTCATTCTCGGCTAAGTGTAAGTGGAATTGCAGATCTGCTGCACAGCGATTTCAGTTTCATGTACTGGGCACCGCGCCGCCGCCCCCTCCCCCCCGTGTGTTCTTCCTTCCTTCCTTTCGACGGCAGCAGGGCAATGTATGTCCGGGGAAAGAATGCGCCCCTCCGCCTTCGGAGATACCCAACGCGCCGTCTGCTCTGCCTGCAGAACTCCCCCCCCCCCAAAAAAAACAACACCCGCGGCCAGCCCTCCGCCTTCCCCCGCCCCTCCCCGGCCGTTGACTTACGCGTCGAATTCCGCAGCGCCTCCGAAGTCCCTCGATAAGGAGTCTCTTCTGTTCCTCAGACTTTCCAAACCGCCGCTCCGCTTCCCGCCCGTCCGGCGGCTCCGGCTTCCCTCCCACCGCCGCGCACATGAAAGGGAAGCGGGAGGGCGGCCCGGCTGGCGCGGAGCGTGACTCTCGGCCGGCTTCGGCGGCTGGGGAGGGAGGAGTCGTCGGGCCCTTTTGTGGATTGCGATGTGGATTCCCGGCCAGACAGCTCTGTTTGTTCACGCGCCGCGGGTCAGCCGTCCGGATCTGGCCGGCGTTTCTAACACAGTCCTCGGGAGAGCAGCCGCGGCTCGGCAGCGGGGCTAATTTATGGCCTCCGCTTAAGACCGGCGACTTCGGAGCGCAAAGTTTTGGGTCTCTTCTCCCCCCCCCCCCCTTACATTCTCTCCCCTGTGCCTGCAGCCTCCTCTCGGAAGGAGAAGCAGCAAAGCGACCCCCCCCCCTCCAAAGCCTCAAGAGGCGCCTGGGATGGACGACCGGCTGGCAATAGCAGCAGGTCTGTTGCCCCCCCCCCCCCGGGGTTTCGGGGGGGGGGAGACAAGGAGAAATTTCTCTCTCACGTGGGGAGCGCTTTAACTTCGACCCTCTCCGGGACATGCTGCTACTAAGACTATGGCTATGGCGAAATCCAGTTGGAAAGTGCATTGAAAGTGGATTATTTAGTATGTGGGATCACGGCCTATGAATCCTCGTCCTCATACCGAGCTAAGAATCACAAGATGCTTTTGGAAGAGCATGGTGGATTTTCTCTGCCAGGCAAATGTAAGCAAGCAGAACAACTGGGTCCATATTCTCTTTAATAGCAACAATGACAAGTCATAAATTCCGCCGGCTCCCGAGTGCTGTGGGGCCAGAGGGGTGGCAACCGGTCGGACCACCTGGCTGTGGGGCAGGGAGAGTCCGACATAAAGCAACCTTCATCTCCAGCAGAAAAGAAAGAGGGGGGAGGGAACAGAACTCCCTTCCTTTTGGGGAGGGTGTCCTTGGTGGAACTCCCTACTCAAAATGGGGTGAGATCCACGTGGACCATTTCCTACCAATCGGCACTACTACTACTCCCAGGGCCACTGGACCCAAACTTTGTTTGAGCTTCAGCTTCAGACCAACGCGGCGACCCACCTGAATCCATTTCATACCAAGCAGAGCCTGTTTCGGCGGGGAGGGCGGGGTATAAATCCAAAACAAACAAACATATTCTCCTGCTTTTCCCAGCAGACCCCAAGGAAAATTGCAGGCCGCTTCCCTGAGCGCACCCTGGATTTCAGTGGAACTGCTGCTTAGGATCGCGCTCTAAGGCAGGCGAGGGGCCCGAAGGCCTTCCGGACGTCCCCCCCCCGCCACCACATTCCCCCCTTCCCTTCCGCCTCCATCAGAGGGACCGAGAGAGCTTCCGTGCCCCCCTCCCTGCCCCTCGTGGTTTTCGCAGGACGGAGACTGCCACTCCTCCAAAACAAAAGGGGAAGGGGGGGGGAGGACGCGCAGCGACGGGCGCTGCTAGACAGGAGGCATCTCTTTCTTCAGTGGCCACCGGGAGGGACTGAACAAAGGCGCGGTTGTCTATTGGTAAAGTTACGGCAGAGTAAAACACACACGCACGCCCAAGCTAGGGAGGGACGAAGAAAGACGCTGCAGGGGACTTTCCAGTTGCGGAGCTCCACCAGCCTGCCAGTGCACAACCCCCCCCCCCCAATACCTTCAGCACGGAGGGCTGGGGCTGCAATTCATCTTGATTTGTTCCATCCTGCCGCAGACATGCAAACTCTAACCCGGCATCGTTTCAGGAACAAGCATCTGGAGAATGAATGGGTCAATATCCCTGCGTGCCAAACACAAAGAGCGCGACCTTCCCGCTCGGCTACAGATTGCCGGACGGCCCTTCCCCGACCCCCCGGCTCCTTGGCGGCAGCAGAGCTCGGGAGTGTCCAGCCCCCGTTTGCTGGCTCTCTGCTGCGGGGCGGGGGAGAATTTCTTGTAAGAGAGAGCGACAGTGCTGGAGAGGAAGCATTCTTAGGAGGAGGAGGAGGTTGTTGTTGTTGTTACTACTTCTACTACTACTATTCACAAGCCAACCCGAGTGAAGCACTTTGAAATCCGATAGATTCCGGTGGAATAGTTGGAAGATGGAAGATCTCAAGGGAAGGGAAGATTTCCACGGAAAAACGCCTGCTGAAAGCCTAATAGGACTTTCGACCGTCCTCTTGTAAACATTTACTAACTAGGTCATAAACTCCACCGGAGTCCGTGGGACTTTCTTTCAAGAAGACGCGCTGTTAGAGTGCTCCACTTTGGATGGATCGTGCCCCCAGCGATGCTGATTAACAGCCAGGGCCGCAGTAACAAGAGAAGCCCCCCCCCCCAAGAAAGACGCAAGACCCTTGGAGGGAGGAACAACCCCTTCGGTGTGCGCTTGGTTTGCTGGGTATGTTGAAAGGGCAGATCTAGGCCGAAAGAATCCTGTTTTTAATGGCTCCAGACTTTTATGTCTCCGGAGCGGACTAAAGGGCCGAAAACTTTGACTGGGAGATCTTTCAGTCAATAGATATACATTATTATCCCCCAATTTCACTTCATCTTAAAAAAAGAATATATTCAGACAGTCTGTATGCGGTATAGTTTACTCCCATGAAAGAAAACACATTTTTCCCCCCAATGTCGGCTGAAAAGGAAAACAATAATGTTATACACAGGGTATGTTTTACATTTGTAGTTTTCAGAGTCAACATTGCATCCATAATGGCTAATAATAATATATATATTATTATTAATAATAATAATTAATAATAATAATATATTAGAAACATACAGTGTCGCATTTAATATATACATTCCCTTGCTCGCAAGGGGAAAAAAAAACACAAAAAAAGAAATCCCTAATCTCTTGTGTAACATGCTTTATTTTAAAGCCTAACTTTTTTTTTCTTTAAAAACACTGTGGAGATATTCCTAACAACTGCTTTTATAAAATTAATTTGACATTTCGATATATATATACATCTTCCCGTCATTTTTTCCTTTTAATGTTAAGAATGCTAAACATAAAAAATAACAAGCTTATAGGAACATTAAAATGTCATCATATCCAGTCAAACGTTTGTCCGTAGTCTTTATATATATTTATAATATACGTCCTTGTAGCTGTTGGAAATACTTTTTTCTTCTTCCTTTAAGTGAAAAGTGGCTGGAGAAGAGCCTTCGAAAAACAAAGGGGGGGTTCATTTCAGTGACTTCCCTCGTCCTCCTCCCCCCCTTCCATTCTTTGTTTAGAGGGGGGGAGATTCTCGAATTCCCAGTTGCTGTCTTAAGGTGTGTGTGTGTGTGGTTGTGGTGGGGGGTGGGGGACGGCGGCCCCTCACACCGGCCGGTCCATGGCGTACTGGCAGGCGCTCAGGTTGGAGGCCGGGTTCTGCACGCTGGCGTAGCCGAAGCTGGAGTGCTGCTTGGCTTTGAGTCTCAGGCTGGCCAGGCTAGAGTTACACGTGTCCCGGTAAACGTAGGGAGGGGTCGGCGGGGCGTAGGGGCAGGCGGGCGTGGGCACGGCCGAGTTGAGGGAGGGGTTGCTCAGGTTGTTCAAGTTGTTGAGGCCGTTGAGGCTGGAGCCCGGCACGCCGGTGACGGCCGAGGGCACCATGCTGGAAGACATGCTCATGGAGGAGATGGAGTTGGGCGGCGAGAACATGCTCTGCGAGGAGAGCGGGTTGAGGAAGGGGAAGCTCTTGGTGGACAGCGACGCCGAGGTGAGGCCTTTGGCCGCCCAGTTGTTGTACGAGTAGCCCGGGTACATGTCGTCGTAGGGCTGCATCAGGCCGTTGAACTGCGGGCCGAAGCCGTTCTTGCACAGCTCCGCCTGCTGGTTCCGCTCCCGCTTCCGCCACTTGGCCCGCCGGTTCTTGAACCAAACCTACGAGCGAAAAGGGAAGGGGAGGGAAGGGAAGGTGGTGGTGGGGGGGAGAAAAGCCGGTCACTTGGGGAGCCAACGGACAGAGGGCCCTGCAACCACCCATCCCGACCCTCCCCCGTGCATCCGAGGGCAAAAGGTTGGATCCTCGACCACGGCACGATACGCGGGGCGGTTTTCTGGCAGGAGGTTCAGGCTCGCAGCGCCCTGCTTTAGAAAGAAACCCCCGGCTGGTATCACCCGTGAGTCTGAGACCCTGGCCTAAATCTATTTCGGGTTAAATGTAGTGAGGGTAGGGGGGGAGGCTAGTTTGGGATATAGCTAGGTAGGACCGCGTAGCCCTCGAAGGCGAGATCGTGCACAACTCCCTTTGCCAGAGCGCCAAGAAAACGCCCTGCTCCTGCCCCATTTCCAGCCACCACCCTCCCTTCGGTTCCCGCTCGGTTCAGTTTGCTAACCGAGGAGGTGGTGAACAAAAGAGGTAGGCTTGAGTGCCCCCCCCCCCATCGCAGGGCTAATCCACCCTCCCCATCGCAAGATGCATGGGGGGGGAATCTTAGCGCTCCCCCTCTTTTTGCAGTTTTGAGACACGAAATAGTATTATTTGGGAACGGAGCGCAAGGAAACCCGGGCAATTTTGTTCTCTCTTCAAAGGAAGAAAATCCTTTTTTAAAAAAAGGAGGAGAAAGGGAGGGGAGCCTAATAAATCTTTACCTCGACAGCTTGTTAAAGGGGCGCGTTTGCCTCTAATCGTCGGTAAATCCCCGGCCTTCCGCGCCGCCTCCGCTCGCCCTTCTGGCCTAGGCGGCCTTTAGCAGCCTGTTCAAGCCGAGCGGGCCGGGCGCGGAGGACAATGGCGAGGGCGTGCGTGGGCTCTCCTCCTCCTCCTCCCCAATCCACATCCACCTCCCCCCCCCCCGCCTGACCTGCCCGCCGGCCCCCCCCCAGC